CCCTTGGAACCGGGGTAGGCTTTTCTTCTTCTTTCGGATCCAAGTGGCCCAAGATCCCGAGACGATGATTCACTTCCGCGATCTCGTCTTGCGTCATCGGGATAAGTGGCGGATGGCCCTCTTTAGGAGGGGTTTTGCCCCTGTTGGGACTCAGGCCTTCGTTGTTGCCAACGGGGCATCCTGGCCTGTGATTCTGGAACGGCTGGGAACAAGGTCCGCATGCTGCGTGAGGCCTATACTGCTTGCGCGCCGCGATAATATCTCGTAACTGAGTCCGCACTTCTTGAATTTCAGGGCGGCGGATGTTTGTTGCAAGCTGATAGCCTCCGCGGATGGGCTTGCCATCGCTGTCCCTATAGGCAGGGTTGCCCTGGCCAAAGGCCGAGTGTTCCCCTTTTCGGCGTCTTGGGTCGTTGTGCGGAAGTAGCTGGCCACCTCTCCTGAGAGCGTGTTCTTTTGGGCCAGCCTGTCTCCACTCACGAGGAAGTCGAGCCTGGGGATGTGGCTCTTCTCTGACGCGCGTATGGGAACGAGATCTTCTGGTGTTCTCATCAGAGGAAGCTGCCGATGCAGCAGGAACGGCACCCGGTGGAGGTGCCTGAGGAGGCTCCTGTGCGATCCCAGATGGATCGTCCGATGGAGGCAGGTCTCCCTGCTGGGTGGAGCTCGGCGCAAGTGGCGCTTGTGCCGATGGTGATGATGATTCAGACTCATCAGGGTCGAAATCGACCTCTTCCTCACCATTCACGTCCATCATGAGGATGGTGACATCATCCTCATCTAACCCGCAGCCATCGCCATCTACTTCTTCTGATGTCGAACTACCAATGATGATGGCCATTGGCGTATCTGGTACAGGCAGGTTTCCCTGCATAGCCGGCGTCTGGGCGTCGCTCGGCTGTCCCGGAGTAGGAGGCATTGTTGTCGGCTCAGGCTCGTCGCCGAGCATAGGCTGCCCAGCAATGTTACGCATGGCCGCATGGTTCGGCCTCATTCCCACCGCCTGGAGACCCCATCCTGGCGGAGGAAGATCATGACCGCGCATAGCCATCGCCATTTCCAGAGCACGACGCCATCTACCACGGGAGTATATCAAGTGTCTCTGCACTTCCTGAGGATACACGCTGTCAATGAGAGTCAGAGCTGCCAAAAGTAGCTCTGAACTACCGCAAGCATCATTATCCTGTTCTGTCATGATGCCAGCTTCGATGTGTTCTTGACTCTCAGGATAACCAATTGTAAGTATCTCATGCATCCTCATGAGGGTCTGCAAAAGGGTACGTGGTCCATATTCGCCTGGAGCAAGCGAACCAAGAGGTATGAACGGAATATCTGGTTCGCCTGCAATGAAGGCCTGAACAAATGCCTGAGACTCCATTGCAATTAAGTCTTCAGTGGTCTGGGGATATTCTCCCATCAAAGAAGGCCTGTTTCCAGGCGGGATTTCGGGCGGAGGTTCAAGGTTTCGTTGAACCTCGGAAGGCGAAGCCTCTATAGTGGTGTCCTCGTCGTCACTCTCGTAAGCCATGGTGTTGCCTGGGTTCCCGAACATCCAGTCGAAGAATGAAAGAGGCTCGTTTCCAAGCGTACCGTGTTCCACGGGAGTGAGTTCGTTACTGCCCGTGACGAACCGGCGGACGTACTCGAGGTAGTACGCGTACAATCCATGACCATACCCCTCGAGCTCGTCGACGTTGTCCATGCCAGCTACCCAAGTGAAAAATATCTGTTCCATAGCCTCAAAGTCCTGGAGGCTCAGATATTCAATGGATGGTGCACTTGAGCAAAAATGGACTTCGGACGACATGCCCTTTCCATTTCCCTTCGCTGGACAATCTCGCACAAGATGATCGGAACTACCACATTCATGGCATTTGAGAACCTGGCCGTCTCTACCTCGCGGGTTTCCCCGCCTACCTTTACCTTTACCTGAGGTCTCTCTACGGCCTTTACCACGGCCTTTTCCCCCAAAGAATATCTCATCATGTTGTTCATCTGAGAGCCTCTGGAGAAATGCCGCGATACCTCGCCCTTCAACCTCCGACGACCACGCTTGCCTTTACCCTTTCCTTTAAAACTTCTGCGTGTCCTCCTTCTAACACGACGCACTGGTTTTCGTGTGAACCTCCTCCACCTTCGTTTGGCCTGTTGTAACAGCCAGAATAAATGCTCAGCGCGCTGATTGTCGTTATCCATATTCATGATATCTGACCAATCTAGAGCTTCAACACCATCTGATGATATAGTGTCTGTATCGGTGCCGGAGTCGAAGTCTTCGTCTCCTAAATAGGTGGATACACCGTCGGTTAGGGGATTTGATTCCCCCCATAACGAGCGGTGTGGTTGTGGTTCTCTAGAAGGAGGGCTGGTTGCCCAGCTTGGTTGTGATCGATCCCCTGCTAATAAAGCAGTGGATTCTCCTGGGTCATCGGCCCATATGCTTGAGGGCCCGTTTCCAGGCTGGGCTTCAGTGGTCAAGGTAGTGTAGAAATTTCCACTACCAGATCCCCTTCCCCTTCCAAACACAGATCCTATGTTGCCAGGAGACCGTTCGGATAGGTGGCCTATCGAACGCATCCTCTCCAGCAACTCATCATACTGTTGTTGTGTTCGAGGCATTTGGTGGTTGAGTGGCTGTAAGAGTTGCATGGCTTTCTGGTTGCCGACGCCTAAGGCGCGGAATAGGATAGTGGTTAGCAGTTGGAAGTTAGGAAGGTCGAATCCCACCGACTGTGCCTCAAGTCGGGCCATTTCGAATCGGGTAAGAGTGACATCGATTCGTTCCCCGTGAGGCACATGGAAGTCGATGAGTTGTGTGCCGGAAGTGAGCTGTCGCTCATCTTCCAGGCGTTCGAACTTCATGCTGAGGAGGAACATGATGTAGGTTACTGGGTCTGTGTGGACCCCATCAATATCAGCACCATAGTTTATAATGTCAGGCGGTACCCTCATGGCGAGTGTCCTCGCTAGGCCACCTAGGCCGCGTTGTATTGCGGCCGCTTGGGCCTGTGGCGTCATACGTCCGCTTGTAACGTTGAGCCATGCGTTGACCTCGTAGATGTACTCACGAAAAGGTACATTACCTTGAGGGTCCCAATATGGGCCATGTGTTTGCCCATCGGTGCTGTTATCTCCACGACGCATGTGTCCGATTGCTGCCCCCAGCGCGAACCATATGATAGCGAAAACGATTAGCCCGAGAATGTGTAACGAAGGACGGTTATGATGCGCGTTGTCGCGCTGGGGTAGCGCCTTGTCGAGTCTTCGAGGCGCTCTGTCTGGCGGGTCTCCCCGCCCTTGCTTCAAGTATTGCGCTGTTAGCTCGTTGCCGAGCGGTTGGTAGTAACGCAATGATGAAGCGTATATGGTACCGGTTTGGTCGTCTAGACGTCGTACCTCTCGTGTTGCTTCTTGCTCTTGAATAGATCCTCGTAAACGTACTGGGAGTGGTGGCGCAGGGTGGTAGGTGGTCACGAAGATCGTGCCGAAGAATATGAGGCTAAGAAGAGCAAGAGCTGACCACACGAGAGTGCGGCCAGCTCCGCTACCAAGTCGAAAGTGAGCCTGGTAACTCAAATAGGGCATATAGCCTGGCAAATTGCATCCATCGCTCTGCTGTGAAGGTACAGTATGAGGGGTGGATGGGTAAGATAGGATAAGATCGATGTAATGATCTTTCCAGCACATAGCGAACACTCGCGGTGTCCGGGCAAATAGGGCGCGCGTGCCTTGAGCCCAAGGCAGCGGCGCGCGAGCTATGCTCCCGATACTGTAACATCTCCCAAAGAGCTACCCTTAAAGTGTCTTCCCTTCTTCGAGTCATGTTTTCTTGAGACTCCTGGTGAAGACCTACCAGACCACCCCAACCCAACTGGGGGGGTGTGGGCTCCATGTGTGTTTTTGTCGACGTTCCCCGACCCCCCCCCAAACTGGAAATGGAGGGCAAAGTGGGGCCTTCGGGTTGTTTTGGGGTGGTTTGGTGGGTGGTGACCTGGGGCGCTCTCGTCCTCCCAGTTGGATTCCCTTCAGAGTGCCAGACACAGCGCGCCTCAGGAGTGACGGGGGCTCGATTCTTCGAGGCCCAGAGCCTTGACCTTTGAGGGGGCCCAGGGACACACAACTAAACACACACATATATATGTATACACACACGCGCACATATCCGAAGAATTCCCATAGTTCCAATGGTTTCCTATGTTTTCTGGGTTTTCGTCTTCCCCCCCCCCCCACTTCCCATATTTTCCTATATTTTCCTGGGGATCGACGATTGACTGTGTCTGTGTGTATTCCCCTCCTGCACTTCCTTCTCTGTCCCGCGGCAAAAATGAAACTGCGTCTCGTCGCCGCCTCGTGCGCTGGCTGGCATGTTCGGGCATTCGCGAACTGACGCCCTATCGCCGCCTCGTCACCGCCCTGTGCGGTGCCGATCCTCAGGCAGGGTCAGCGAAGGTGAGACCTTGAAGGAGGAGGCCGACTGGGAGAAGAGGGCGAGGAATGGGGAAACCCGCTCCTCTCTGCCGCGGGGCTTATCCGACGGGGGGGTTCGAGATAAGTGGCCGGAATACGACGACGACTGGGACGAGGAGGAAGAGGAGGGGCGCGAGAAGGGAAAAGAGAAGAGACAGGACCCGAGCTTAGCTTAGAATTGGGCCCTGGCGCCATTTCAAGACGGCGAACATTGAAAGCATGATGGGGGCGAGAGAAGAGGAGTAGGAGGAAGGGGGAGGTGCAGAACCTGACGCACACCGACGAAGAGGAGGGGTAAGATAAGAACGACGACGGTGACGACGACAGCGGCGGCGGCGACCACGACGGCGACAGCGAGGACGACGGCGGAGGCGACGGCGGCACTGACGACGGCGGCGACAACAGCGGAGGGCAACGCCGACGGCGGCAACGAAGACGCCGGCGGCAGCGACCACGACGGAGGCGCCGGCGGAGGCGACGGTGGCAACGACGAAGGCGGCGGCGACAACGCTGGGCAACGACGACGACGGCTCCTGCGGCGACTCGTCATGAAATGGCAGCCACGTCTGCACGCAGGCGCCACCGCCGGGGCCCTCCTGCCGGGCAGGGAGGAGCCAGCCCCGCCGCACTTGGTCGGGCTGGCGCGTGAGTCCCCAAACTGGTGTCTCCCTCCTCCCTCCGGCATCTCCCCTGCCGCAGGGCACGATGCGAGCCGATTTGCGCGGCGTCGGGGTGCTCTCGGAGCCCTTCTGTGTTCGCGCACGCTCGCCCCCCCCGTGGGGTGGGCGCACACGCGAGTGCGTTGGTGAGCGAGCGCCTGGGACGACACAAAGACCAGACAGGCAGGTCCACGCAGGAGGAAGAGATGAAGGAGGAGGAGGAGGAGGAGGAGGAGGAGGAGGAAGAAGGAAAAACGAATTTGCAGCATCTTTTTGCCACTGCTGCACATTTCCTCCCGCGGGATTCCTTCCGCGCGCCTCCCGCGGGAGGGAAGGGGGGGACAAGGGGCGCCCCATCGGAGGCCCTCGCCTCGGCCATCGCTCGGACGTCCAATTTTCCCGTGCATGCTTGTGCCTCGTGCGTGCACTTTTTTGTCCGCAAGGATGACTCAACATGGTCCTCGATGGTCCTTGCCGAGGAGGAGGAGGAGGAGGAGGAGGAGGAGGAGGAGGAGGAGGAGGAGGAGGACCGATGAAGAAAGCACACGTCCGAGCGATGCCAAGACACAGGGCCTCCGAGGACTTCGGCAGGGGCAAGGAACGACGACACCGCTGCCACCACGGGGCCGGAGCCAGGCAGGGCCCTGCCGGTGGTGCGGTCCCCGTCTTCTGTGGCAGCTCGGGGAGGCGGCGCGGAAATTCTCGCCAGGGGTGTCTCGGCCGTGGAGTCGCTCCTCCCTCCTCCGAGGAGGACAGGGCTGGGGAGGTGGAGGAGGAGGATAAGCAGGAGGAGGAGGAGGAGCAGGAGGAGGAGGAAGAGGAGGAGGCGGAGGAGGAGGAGGATTGGACTCCGCTTCGCCTGGCACGCCAATCCTCTCGATCAAAGGGGAGAAGGATCGGAGGGGGGTACCCGTCGGCCGGAAGAAGCGGGCAGAAACACGAAGCAGGAAGGCGTTGGAAGTAGATTGGGTCTCCGCCCGCCCCGTGAGGACGAAGGAAAACTCGATCCCCGAATCAGGAAGGCGCCTGAAGTAGATTGGGATCTGGGAAGTCCAATATACCCATCAGCGACCCGCGTGTAGGGTTTTCGGGCGTCTCCGAGGAGGGGTGGGCCAAGAGGGATGAAGCTAGGGGCGGGGTCGAGGGTCGAGTTTGCGTCCCTACGTCCGCCTTGGACGGAGGAGGGAGGGATGACCGAGACCCCCTCGCGTCGTGCCAATTCACAACGCACACTTTTCAATAACAACACTTCGATTGCAGACTGCCTGGCCGAGGTGATCCAAGCAACCGGCACTGAGACGCGAACGGATGCGTTACCTAGATGGTTAGCCTGGGCCGACGAGGCGTCACCCAAACTGTGCGTGAAGGGCGCCAAGATTTCGGGAAATGCCAGCTAACAAGCACAAGTGGAGGAGGATCAGGAGGACGAGACAGCCAGGGAGGGAAAATGGGCAGCGTGGCAGAAATGGTGGTCACGCGCATCGGCTGCTTTAGCTCCGGCCCAAACCAAGAAAAAGATAACGGCCACACGAGGAGGGGAAGTGGATAAGACGGGAGGCGGAGGACGCGGACCGGGAGGAAAGAGGCAGGAGGACACCAGACGGCGACTGATACGAGTCTGCCCCCAAAACGTATCGGGCCGCATAAGTCGTGTTATAGTCCCTACCGCATGGCCCAAACGGCCACTGCAAAATCAAGCACAACACAAGATATGGGAGGGAGAAGGAAGCAGGAGCGAACGAAACGGGGCGATTGGCCAAATCTCCGTGGCAGCAAGCAGGGCACACCATGAGCTGGCCAACCTTGCGTGGCTCAATGATAGCATGATGGAGAAATTAGAACAGAGGAGCACCAGCAGCGGCAGCGGGAGAAGCGGCAAAGGGGGGGGCTAGAGCTGCTGCGTATGATCCGAGGCGCGCGCGACGCACGCCGACGCAGCGCCATGCCCACGCACAATACCTATACGACCAGCCTTCGGGTGATATGGAGGTTAGGGGGGGAGAGGGAATCAACGTCTCATTCAATCGATGTCACATCGATCAAGCTCTCGATCTCACAACAGATCTTACTATTGATCTCATAATCGACCTCACAACAGATCTCGCTATCGATCTCGCAATCGATCCAACTATCAATTTGACAGGCGAACGCACGATCGATCTCAGAAGCGATCACGATCGATTTCACATAAAATCTGACTATCGATCTCTGAATCGATCTCACCATCGATGTGACAATCGCACTCACTATCGATCTCACATCCGGACTCAGTTTCGATCTCATGACAGTTTCACGACTGGTATCTCTACCTATCTCACCATCGATCTCGCTATCGGGCTCAAAATCAGCCTCACAATCGATCTCACAATCGATCCCAGTGTCGATCTCAGGGTCGATCCCACGATTGATCTCACGAGCGCTATCACCATCGAGCGCACAACAGATCTCACTGCTGGTCACACAATCGATCTCACTATCGATCTCACAGCACATCTCACTATCGATTTCACAACAGATCTCACAATCGATTAGGGGGTCCCGTTTATTAAGGCGCCCCGCCGAGGAAGGGGGTCCGGAATAGTAGGTCGCATTTGGAAAGGGGGGCCTGTTTCTTAGGCGGGGGTCGATTGATAAGGGATTGGGAAGATTCCGTCGCCAATAGCGCATCAGCGCCGACTAGTTCGGAATAGAAACATTCCAACTATTCCGCGCGTGGGCGCATCCCGCTCGATAGTTCAGAGGGTGTGGCGCGGAGCTGATTCCGATCTTGTTTGAGGGTAACAGGGTTATATACATATATATGTATGTATATATATGTATAGATATATGTATATTATATATACGTGTGTCTATATATATATATATATATATATCAGGCGGGTCGGAAACTACTCCGCCGAATGCAATCATCATGCCACGTTCGGAATGTTCGAAAGGACCGGATCGATCCTCACCGAGGCAACTTGAACACAACTTGATCACGGCTGTGTATTGCATCGGTCCACTTGGTTCTCGGACGGCCGAAATTGCTGGAGCTTCCTGGACGCATATGCGAGTTGAAACGATGCGGTAGGACTCGGGAGGACTCGTAGATTCCGGCGCCATTCCTTATTTCCATAAGGGTTCTGTCCGAATCCGATTCAAACAATGACTTTTGTGCAATCCACAGGCACTCCATTTTGTCATGCGGTTTCCTGCTAAACTTCTATATGCAACAGTGGTGCTCTGTTGGGCACTGTTGCTGTGGTGCACACAGGTGCCATGGTGTACAAAAGCGTTGTACTGCACTCAGGCTGTGCAGAAGCGCTGTGGTGCCCGCAGGCACTGTGGCACACACTGGCGCTGTGTTGCACGCGGCTGCTGTGGTGTACATAGACGGTGTGGTGCACACAGGCATTATGGTGTACGCAGGCACTGAAGTGTACAGAGGCGCTGAGGTGCAAATCGCCACCTACATGCTGCTGTTACCCGTCCTCGGTCATTCCTATGCATTCCCAGAAGCCGCCGGCGCGAAACATGACGCCATCGGCCCGGAACAAAACAAAAAAACAGGCTCCAGCCGCGTCCGCGCGCACGACGACGATGGGAGACGAGCGACGAACGACGAGCCACGAGCCACGACGACGACGACGACGACGACGACAACGACGGCGGCGCACTGGGGGGAAGGGGGGGGCGTTTCGTTATAGGGGGGGGCAGGGGGCCATAACGCCCGTGATGCCCCAAGCGATAAAGAAACACGCTCGTGGCCGGGGGCGACAATGCAATACATTGACGGATGCGAGGTAATGCCCTGTCGCACGAGCACATCCGCCACCGTGCCGCTGGGCACGGAATAGGCGTGTCCTCGGGTCCTTCCATTACCCCTCTGAACCTCAGTCGTCACCCAGGAGCCCGACAGAGAACGGCGACATCCAGGGACCCCAGATGTATGCCAAGTGTATGGCCGAGCGCGTGCTGGCAGAAGGCCGTAGTGAGAGCCAGGTGGAACAATGTGAGAGCGAAGTATGCCATACTCTCTTCTTCTTCTGTTTCTGTTTTGTCTTCTTCTCCTACTTATTATGCTTGTTATTCCTCTTGTTCCTTTGCTCCCCCTCTTTTCAGACATGTGCCTGAGCATGCGCGCTGCACCGGCAACAGCGTTCGCTGGGCCAGAGGGGCGAACCTTCCTCACCGCAGTCTTTCTGGCACCCGTCTGGCTCCGATACCCAGGCAGCAGGTGAACCGAGGCTGCCCGACGGAAACGCTCGGCGAGCCTGAAAGCTCGATCCAAGGCCTCCCTCTGCGGGCGCGCTCTGGTCGGCGGCTCCGCAGGGTGTGATTTGCAAAGCGTGTGGCTTGCAACCGGCGCCCCGGGGGGCCCCCTTGGGGGGGCGGGCGGGAACCTCGGCAGAGCCCTCCGCCGCGCCCCAAGGAGGCACGACGAGGACGGTGTCGTGCGCCAGAGGCCCCAGCGACGCCGATCGCATACCCTTTGTGATCGCAGATCTGGGCAGGACTTCGGGGGGGCGTCTGGCTGGTGCGGCAAGGGCGGCCCAGGGAGACCCCAGAGGCGCCACAAGACCCACCCGAGACCACATCGGACTTCGATCCTCGACCCTTCGGCGGCGGATTTCGGGCGCCTCTTCTGGCCGCCCGCCACCTCCGCGGGGCCGCGCCCCGCCCATCCTGCAGGCCCCACAGCACGCGCTCGCCAGGCCGGCTCCCCGGCAGGAGCCTCCGGGGGAGATCGTCGCGGTCGTCGTCGTGGGCGTCGTCGTGGTCGGCGAGGGCGACGGCGGCGTCCTCGAGGGATGAGGGGACCGGGAGGGATGGGAAGCAAGGAGGGAGGAGCGAGGAGAGGGGAGGAGGGAGTCCAAGGCGGGGGAGGAGGTGGAGGAGATCAAAGACGAAAGGGAGGGGGAGGGGAGGGGGAGGGGGAAGGGGGTGGAGGAGGAGCGGGGGGAAGAGGGGGAGGCTTCCCATTGCGCGCGCTGAATTCTTTTGTCTCCGCCGGTTGTGGGGCGCCCCAACAAGGAGCAGCACCAGGAGCAGGAGCAGGAGCACCAGCGGGGGCAGCAGGAGCAGGAGGGGCCCAGGGGACCAGGGGAAGGCGGAGGGTGGCAACGAGGAGGGCATCGAACTGTGGGGGTCGCCATCGCGCAGCTTTCCAGTGCGTCCGCGAGAGCTTCGCAAGGTGACGGACGTGCTGGTGGTGAGGCGGGCTCTCCCCGCACCTGCGGCTGAATACGCTTCGACGCGCACCGCCATGTTAGCGAGCGCCTTCACGGCACCTCTCACCACGGCTTTACGCCTCCTCGGGGATAGGATTTTCTTTCGTGTTACGCGCCTGACGCACTCTCAGCACAATCACCTCATTCGTGCATTGATGGGGAATGGCACTCTGCCGGATGCAGTCTGTCGGTCTTTCTCGCACTTTGTCGGCAACAGCGGCCTGATCGGTGGTGATATGAACGGGAGAGCTCGCCTAGAATGCGGGGGGCTGATTGGCGAGTTCGTGGAAATAGTCGGGCTCACGAGCCAGAGAGGCCGGACCCTCAATGGGCGGATTGGGTGGGTAGCCGGCCACGCGCCTAACGGCAGGGTCGCGGTCGAGGTCCGTCGTGATGATTCACGTACTCACCCCAAGGCCGATGACTACGAGCCCGAGGCCATCGCCTTGGATCCCGTCAACAGCGTCTGGTTCGACTAAGGCCCCACGCCCGAGACTCCTGCTGCTTTCGATGTGGATGGGCTCTACGGGTACAGGCCGGAGCACTGGACACATCTCCAGCCGTGGCCCCAGGTGGATTTCGCCGCGGAGCGCGAGCGCGATATCCTCGAGGCGGATTCGGTCGTGGCCGATATTGATCGCTGGTGCGGCAGGGCCGAGGAGGAAGAGGAGGAGCCCCTGGAAGAGGCGGGTTCCTTGGACTCCCTGGGCGAGAGCCCCACTGCAGGCGCAGCCGCGTCCAGCTCAGGAGGCCCGGCGGCCGGCTAAGCTTTTCCCGCCTTCCGCTGCGAAGCCTTCAGAAGGTGGTTCGTCGACCGCCCCGCCCGACACTGGCCTGCCTGCCTGCCTGCCCCTGCGAGCTGGTCTGCTCCCGCTACTTCTCGAAAATTCGGAGGCAGCTACTGGGAGGTTTTCGTCGGAAAGACTAAGGGGGATCAAGATTAAGCCCCATTTGGGAGCTACTACGCCGGAGAAGGCCTCGGATTAAGCCGGATTAAGCGGGATTAAGCCGGACTTCGGACCACTGCAAAATCAGAATTTGACCTCCCGGGAGTTGCATCCCAACGAAAGGCGGCTGCAAAGCTGGAGGGCGCTGCCATACATGCCATGGCGAGTCCCATCGCGGGGCGCCGCAGGCGAAGCCCAAGCGCCGCCAGAGGTGCGTTCGGGCAACCCGTCCCGAGCAGCACTGTTTCTACCCTGTGCTGATCTGCCTGTTGCTGATCTTCCTTGGCGCTGCATGACAGGAGCCTCACGTCTTTCCCATGACTTGGCTACTACGCATGGTGGGATGCTCCCCGTACTGGGGCAAGACACCGCCCCTGGGATACCTCTGTGTCGGCGCTTCTCGGGGCGTTGGCGAGATGGTGGTAAGTGTCTGTTGGGACGACTCCGCCTTTCTTTATCCCCAATGGTTGTGGTCTAGTGCCAGGCACTTATCCACGCAGTGTGCGGTCAATTTCGCGACGTTTGCGGTCGATTTCAGATGGTTCGGAGCGGCCAAGAGGGGGGGGTCCAAGAGGGGGGGGTGCAACTCATGGCCGGCGGCATGTGCACGGCCCAGCGGGGGGGCCAGGGACGCAATGAAATAAGAAGAGGCGCCATGAACTCAGGGGAAATATCATGGCCCCCGCCATGATATCCACCCCCCCTAGTCATCACCCCCCTCTTTGCCGCCCCCGAATAGTGTGCGGCCGATTTCGCACACTTTGTGGTCGATTTCACGCAGTACGTGGTCCAATTGACGCAGTGTGTGGTCGTGTTCAAGCAGTTCGCAGCCAATTTCGCGCAGAGTGTGGTCGATTTCAAGGAGTTCGCAATCAATTTCACATAGTAGATGGTCGATTTCACATAGCATGCGGTCAATGTCATGCAGTTTGTGGTCGAGTTCACGCAACACGCGGTCAATTTGACGCAGATGGTGGCCGGTTCCATGCAGTTCGCGGTCAATTTCGCATAGTTTGTGGCCGATGTCGCATACTTTGCCGTCAACTTCGCGAAGTTTGTGGTCGATGACATGCAGCACGTGGGTTAATTCACGCAGTGTGTAGTCGATTTCAAACAGTTTGCGGTCAATTTCACGCAGTGTGTAGACGATTTCAAGCAGTTTGCGGTCAATTTCGCATACTGTGTGGTCGATATCGCACAGTTTGCTGCCAATTTCGCGTAGTTCGTTGTCGATGTCACATAGTTTGCGGTCGATGGCATGAACTGTGTGGTCGATTTCGCGCAGTTTCATGGCAATTTCGCACAGTTTGTCGATCTCAGGTAGATTGCGGTCAGCTTCGAGCAGTGCGCGGTCCATTTCACGTAGCACATGGTCAATGTCATATAGTGTGTGGTCGATTTCACGCAGTTTGCAGTCAATCTCACGCAGTTGGTGGTCGATGTCACGCTCTCCTTCGTCGGCCTCATTGTGTGCTTCTTTTGATGCGTGTCCGGCGTCTTCTTTCTCCCCATCTTCTTTGGCTACTGATTATTTTTCTTCTTCTTCAGAGTCGCTGTGGTGAACCCGATAGGGTAGATGTCCGTCATCTTCTCCCCTTTGGTTGTGGTTCAGTACCAGTTAACCGGGGGCTCGGGCAACCCGTCCCGAGCAGCACTGCTTCTACCTTGTACTGATCTACCTTTTGCTGATCTTCCTTGACACTGCATGACAGGAGTCTCAAATCTTTCCTGTGACTTGGCTACTACGCATGGTGGGATGCTCCCCCGTACTGGGGCAACACACCGCCCCTGGGATACCTCTGTGTCGGCGTGGTCGGGGCGTTGGCGAGATGGTGGTTAGTGTCTGTTGGGACGAGTCCGCTTTTCTTTATCCCCCTATGGTTGTGGTTTGGTACCAGTTAACCGGAACAGCAGCGCGAGGAGAGCATCGAACCCACTCACATCGGAATTGGGCAGGACCCCATTCAGTAAAGCATGGCTTCGTGAAAACGACCTCGGGCCCCAACCTGGCGGGCGCAAGCCTGGAAAACGACGGCCGCGGCGCCCTCCCGAGAGCCGAGAACGGACAATTCACTGATCCACGTACCAGGCTGGGGGGCTCTGGGCACCCCCCGACAAGACATGTGGCCCGCGCTTGGCACGACCGCAGCTCCGAAACAGCGGGGAGCGGAGCGCCGAACCTGAGAGGTTCGCTGCAGCGGGACCGCCAGTCCTGGAGGGGGGCAACAAAACAATCCGCTCGGAGCGGCCAGAAGCCTCGGCGGCGAGCACCAGGGGGGCGAAGTGAGAGGGGGCGGGCCTGCTCACGCGACTCGGAAGGCCTCCTGCCTTCCAAGATACGGTCTGAGCCTCCCGTCGAAGACGCAGGAGACTTCTCGGAAGGCGCGAAGGCCTCCGAGACGCCCCGCCGCCTTCCGAGGAGGCGTTCTCCCTCTCAGCTCCCCCCTCCTCGGCATCGCTCGGACGTCCATTCCCCGTACATGTTTCGATTTCGCGCGTGTTTTTCTCTGTTCCGCAAGATGATCCCAGATGTTTCTCGAGGGTCTTCACAAGAAGCAAATGCACACGTGCAAGCGATGCATAGCCCTTGGGCTCGCTGCCGAGATCTCAGCAGATCGCTGGAAGCCCCGCGTGTGACAACAGCCCGCGGCGGACGCGCCGCCCTTGCACGAGGACCGGACCCACGGGGAGGGAGACGCGAAGATCGGCGGCGAGCGAGGGGGGGAGTAAGAAGGGGCGGCCTTCTCAGAAGGCTCGGGGGGTCCCCTGGCCTTCTGAGAAGTTTCCTGAGCCTGCGCCGAAGACGCAGGAGACTTCTCACAAGGCGCGAGGGCCTCTGAGCAGTCCCGCCGCCCTCTGAGCAGTCCTTCTCCTCCTCGCTACATCTCTCCCTTCGCTCGCCACCCAGGAGAGGCCAGACGCCATGTGCCCAGCATTCGGTCGGGCATGTCCCGATGTCCCCCTACAGGCGGATTTTGGAGGACAAATTAGAAATACTCAAAACATAACCGAATATTGTCAAACACAGTCAAAAAAACGTCCCCAAACTATTTGTTTTCCACTTTTGAAGTTTCCTCCTGTAGAGGGACAGGCCCGACTTAAGCCCAGCAGGCGCGAGGGCAGTGCGCGCCGCGCAGGCCGGGCGCCCGAAAGCGCGCTGGGCGGGGGCAGCGCGAAGTGCTCGGCACTGCCCCGAGGGTGCGGCAGGGCGGAGGGACGCGAGGAGCAGGGGCGCACAGGAGAGCGGAGCAGGAGGCACCCAGAGGGGGAGGAGGAGAGGAGGGAGGCGGCCACCGCAGGAAGACAGAGGCAGGGGAGGGGGGGGAGGGGGGGGGGGGGGGCGGGGAGGAGCGAGGCAGGGGTGGGGCTCCGAGCGCGCGCGGGGGGAGCAGCAGACGCAGGGGGGGGGAAGAGGAGCACTGACCAGAAGAGAAAGATTGCGTGCACTCCTCGACCTGGTGCGTGCCACCCTGGGGGGAGCCTGGGCGGCGGACCGCCAGAAGCCAAAAGCAGCGACGCCTCAGCAGGATCGCCTGGTCTACACATGGCCTCCACCTGGTCTCCACACGGTCACCGGGGCGGCGCCGAGGCTCGTGGTCTTCTCGCCGTCGGCGCTTCCGAGGGGCCTCTGACGCGTCAAGATGGCTCCAAGAGGGTTCGAGAATTGCCACAAGAGCGCCCAAGAGCGCCCCAGGAGGGGCCCAAGAGGCAGGCGAAGCTGAGGGCCACGACGGAGGGGCGGGGGGGAGACACAAGCGCCGCCCGCTTCCTGGACCAATTGGCCTTCAAGATAACCCGAAGAGCGCGCCTAAGGCACGCAAGAGGGCCCCGAGAGGGCCCCGAGAGGGCCCCGAGAGAGCCCAGAAGGCTGCCAAAATTGCCATGAGATGGTTCTGATGGGGGAGACACGAGCGCCGCCCGCTTCCTGGACCAATGGCCTTCAAGGTAACCCGAAGAGCGCGCCTAAGGCACGCAAGAGGGCCCCGATAGAGCCCCGAGAGGGCCCCGAGAGGGCCCAGAAGGCTGCCAAAATTGCTATGAGATGGTTCCGAAAGGCCACCCCAGGTCCTGATGTCGCCGTCGTTGGCCTCCCTGCTGCGCTGCATGCGTATTTACGCCTCTCCCCCAGGTAACACCCCCTGCGCATCGTTTCCGGATGGTCCGGTGGGTATATATATATATATATATATATATATATATGTATGTACGCGAGGAATCAAGAAATTCATAATTCCGAGACGGACTCAGCCGTGGCCACGAAGGCGCCCTCAAGAGAGGAAGGATGAGGATGGGGATGAGGATGGGGATGAGGATGAGGATGAGGATGGGGATGAGGAGGAGGAGGAGGAGGAGGAGGAGAGGCCGGGGAATTGTGGAATACCTCAATGTTCCAGGTTTTTGTTTACGAGCTTGCACCCTTCTCTTCACCATTATCCTTATATGACCTCTCTCCTTCCTCAAGCTGTACCCGTTCTTCTGCCAGCCTCTTCAAAGAAAACATGACGATGCGATACCAATCCATTGCCAACCAAAGCCAATGCAATGCCAGTTGGGGTTATTTTCTCTCTGGATTTCAATAAGAAACCTTATGTGGATGATGTCATAACGAATCCCTTCTCGGAGGATTTCATAGGAATGCTTCTGTGGATGGTTTCGACAGGGATCCTCCTTTGGAGGATTTCACTGGGAATCCTTCCTGTGGGGGTTTCAATGGGAAACCTTCTTGTGGAGGATGTCAACAGGAGTCCTTCTTCGGAGAGAGCCATGGGGACTCGCCAGCGCAATGCCAGCGCAATGCTAAAGCAGTGCCAACGCAATGCCAAACCAATGCCAAGGCGACCCCAACATGATGCCAATGCTATGCCAATGAGGGTAATCCTTTGTGGTAGATTTCAATACGAATCCTTCTGGGGGTTGCAATAGGAATCCTTCTGCAAAAGGAGGCATTGTAACTCGCCAGCGCAATGCCAGCGCAATGCCAAAGCAGTGCCAACGCAATGCCAGCGCAATGTCAATGCGATCTCAAATCCGATGCGAATGCAATGTCGTTGGGGGCAATCCTTCGTGGTAGATTTCAAAAAGAATCCTTGTTGCGGAGGGTTTCAAATGGAATCCTTCCTTCTGCGGAGGGAGGCATTCGGACTCGCCTGCGCAATGCTAAAACAGTGCCAACACAATGCCAAATCAATGCCAAGGCGACCCCAACATGATGCCAATGCTATGCCAATGAGGGTAATCCTTTGTGGTAGATTTCATTAAGAATCCTCCTGGGGGTTGCAATGGGAATCCTTCTGCGACGGAAGGCATTGAAACTCGACAGCGCAATGCCAGCGCAATGCCAGCGCAATGCAAAAGCAGTGCCAACGCAATGCCAGCGCAATGCCAATGCGATATCAAATCCGATCCGAATGCAATTTCGTTGGGGGCAATCCGGTGTGGTAGATTTCAAAAGGAATCCTTGTTGCGGAGGGTTTCAATTGTAATCCTTCTGCGAAGGGAGGCATTCGGACTCGCCAGCGCAATGCTAAAGCAGTGCCACCGCAATGCCACACCAATGCCAATGCGACCCCAATCCAAGGCCAATGGGGACAATCCTGTGGTAGATTCCAATAGAAATCCTGTTAGCTCCCTCTCCCTTCCCTCCTCTTTGTCATTGGCTCAAGCACCAAGATCCTGTTTGTGGAGGGTTGCAACAGGAATCCTTCTGCGAAGGGAGGCATTAGGACTTGCCAGCGCAGTGCCAGCGCAATGCTCAAACACTGCCAAGGCAATGCCACATCAATGCCAAGGCGATCCGAATCCGATGCCACTGCAATGTCGTTGGGGGGCAATCCTTCGTGGTGGATGTTACTGAGAATTGTTCTTCTGGGGGTTTCATTGGTAATCCTTCTGCGAAGGGAGGCAGTAGGACTCGCCAGCGCAACGCCAGCGCACTTCCAACGTAACGCCAACATCATGCTAAACCAATGCCAAGTGGGGGCATCCTCTCTAGGTGTATTTCAATGAGAACCCTTCTGGGACGATACCATGGCGAACCCATGTTCGGAGGATTTCAATAGAAAACCGTCTGCGAAGGGCTTCGAATGCAATCCTTCTGTGGAGGATTCCAATTTGAATCTTTTCTGTGTGTGTGTGTGTGGGGGGGGGTCACTGGGCATCCTTCTTGCTGGGGTGGATGAATAAAACATATCCTGTAGATCGTCCGATTAGGACTCGCCAGCGCAATGCCAACGCAGTGCCAACGCAATGCCACTGGGGGCAATCCTTTGTGGTAGAATGCACTTTGAATCCTTTTTTGTGTGGAGGGTTTCAATAGAACTCCGTCTGCGAAGGGGGTAATCAGGACTCGCCAGCACAATGCCAGAGCAATGCCAAAGCAGTGCCAACGCAATGCCAGCGCAATGCCAAGGCAATCCCAACCCAATGCCACTGCAATGCCAGTTGGGGAAATCTTTTGTGGTCGATTCCAGTAGGAATCCTTCAGTGGAGGCCTCGCATGTAATCCTCCTGCGGAGGATTCCAATATGAACCGTTCTTGTGGAGGGTTTCAATCGGAGTCCTTCTTGTAAGGGGTTTCAATGGGAGTCCTTCTGTGGAGGGTCCCATCCAGATTCGCCAATGCAATGATTGCGAAGTGCGCAATGCAAACGCACTGCAAAGCACAATTCCAGCGCAATGCCAAACCATTGCCAACCCAATGCCAATGCAATGCCAGCGGGGGGATTCTGTCTTTCGAAGCATCTCAATAGCAATCCTTCTGCAGGTGATTCCAATAGGAACCAATGTGTGGAGGATTTCAATAACAATCCTTCTGTGGAGGGTTTCGATCGGAATCCTCATGTGGAGGATTTCACTATGAACTCTTCTTGTGGGGGCTTTCAATCGGAACCCTTGCAAAGGTGAGGGCAGACGAGGCCACGTCGGACTCTCCTTTTGTTCACCGCCCCCCCCTCCCCCCGCCAGAAAAAAACAATCGGCTTCGCGTGCTCTTTTGTTGGGCGCCTGGTAGTTTTCGCCACCATCGTGGCCTTCTCTTCCTGCGCTTCGCGGGCGACAGTTGCGCCGTACGCCCTGGCCCTGTGCTGCTCGACCTCTTGACGGTGCGCGGCTGCTTCCGCGTCACTCGCAATCGAAACATGTGTTTTTTGTTGGGGGGGCAGGCAAATGAAAAAAAGTCTGGGGCCTCCCTCTCCTCCTCCTCCTCTGCCTCCTCCTCCTCTTCCTCCTCTTCCTCCTCCTCCTCCTTCCGCTCCCCCTTCTCCTGTCCCCCCACCAGGCCAGGGGCCACACCTGAACGAGGAGGAGGAGGAGGAGGACTAGAGGAGGAGGAGGAGGAGGAGGAGAAGGAGAGGACGAGGAAGGAGCGGAAGAGCAGGAGGAGGAGGAGGAGGAAGGAGAGGAAGAGCAGGAGGAGGAGGAGGAGGAGAAGGAGGAATCCCCGCCGAAGACATGAGACATCTGGGCCCTCTATCCGCGAGCTTCGCCGCGCGGGGCGCCTCCAGGAGCGCGGAGGGCCCTCCAGGGCAAGCAGCAGCCGCACACCGCCGCCGCTGGCGCTGATTTGCCCCGCGTCCGCTCCGCCCGGCAGGGCCCGTACCGCCTCTTGCGGGCGCCCGCCGTCGTCGTCGTCGTCGTCGTCGTCGTCGTCGTCGTCGTCGTCGTCGTCGTTGTCGTGGTCGTTGTCGTCGTCGTCGTAGTCGTCGTCGTCGTCGTCGTCGTCGCCGTGGTCGTCGTCCTGGTCGTCGTCGTCGTCGTCGTCGTCGTCGTCGTCGTCGACAAGGGCGCCGTCGTCGGCAGTGGCGTCGTCGTCGCCGTGGCCGCCGCCAGCGTCGGCGTCGGCGTCGTGACCGTCAACGTCGTCGGCGGCCGGCCCGTTGTCGTCACTGCCGCCGCCTTCGCCGTCGGTCGCCGCCGTCGCCACCGCCGTCGCCGTCGCCGTCGACGTCGTCGGCGTTTGTCGTCGCCGCTGCCGTCGTGTCGCCAGTCATACACGCCAGTCGGAAACAGTGGGCAGAAACATGAAGCAGGAAGGCCGCCTTCCTGGAAGGTGTTGGAGGTAGCTTGGGCCTCCGCCCGCACCCTAAAGAAAAGAGGAGAAAAGGAGTCCAACAATACTTACGTGGCGTGTAATCGTCATCATCGCCGCCGCCGGCGTGCTGTCGTCGTCGCCGGCGGCGTCGCGGGCCGTCGGCTTCTGGGTCCCCCTCGGGCCGGATTTCGTCCCTCGGGCCGGCGGGTCGCTGCGCCCCCCCTGGGCGGCTCCCATGGGGCCGAGGAGCCCGCCGCTGCGCGAGCTGGCGGCCGAGGCGCCGTGCCCACGGGTCGGGTGCTGCCAGAAGTGTCCCTGGCCCCCAAGGTGCCCCCAGGATCTCCAGGGAGCCCCCCCACGACCCTCCAGAGCGCCCCTCGCGAGGCCCAGAGGGGACCCCAGGGGGCTCCAAAAGGGAGCGGAAAGCTGGGGGGCACCCTGGGCCAGGGGCACCTTGAGCGACACCCGAACGGGGGCACGTCGTGGCCGCGGAGGGCACGAAGGCGGGCAGGGAGGGATCGGCGGCGCGCAAACGGGGGGGGGCAGGGGGAGGGGGGAAGGCTTCTAAGAGGGAGGCAGCTTCTCAGAGGGCGCCGGCCTTGCATCTACAGGCAGGGCCCGCGCCATCTGAGCAGGAGTGCTGCTAAGAAGCATTGCCCCCTCCCCCTACCCCCTGCGCGCCGCCAAAGTGTGGAAGGGATGGACGAACCTGACAGGCAGCCTATTTGTATATGCCCCCCCCCCTGGGGGACAGAGCTCGCACTAGAGGGCCCGAAGTCTCCAGAGACGCGTGCGCCTTGAGGGCTGCGCACAGTGTGCCCTGAGATCCGACGTTGCAAAAAAATGCAACATCGCAGAGAATCACGACCGGACACCCAAACCCCATCTTTCTGCGTCACTTCTCGAGCCGGATCGATCTTTGAGGGCCCCAGGATCCGAAATGGAGCGAAAACACCCGGCTTGATCAAATTGGATCGCCAGGTTTCCAGGGTAGGCAAAAAAAGAGAAAGAGAGAGCGAGAGCGAGAGAGAAAGCCAAAGAGAAGAAGAGACGAAAACATCGTGCCACACCTGCAGGAGTTCCCTCCCGCAGGTACACGCCGCTCATTTCTAGCCGTGCCCAGTTCTCAGTGTGCTCGCTCCTGGCTGTCCCTGGCCCCCTCGTGGCCAGGGAGAGGCCCAAGGATAGAACGATCAGAAAGGAAAGGATCTTGGCCCCCCAAAAAATCAAGAACCTTTCGAAGAATTCGGAATCAGCAACGTGCACTGCTGCATCCTCCCTAAGGGGGCGCCCCGCCGCGCTCGCAAAGGGGCTCCTCGCGCGCGCCCGCCGCGTGCGGCAGAAATGAAAGGATCTTGGCCCCCAACAAAAATCAAAGACCTTGCGAAGAATTCGGAATCCACAATGTGCACTGCTGCATCCTCCCCACGGGGGCGCCCCCCCGCGCTCGCAAAGGGGCTCCTCGCGCGCGCCCGCCGCGTGCGGCTGGGGGCCCCTCCGCGCGGGGCGAGCGGCACACGGCGAAGGGCGCCGCGTGCGGTGCGGTGCGGGCCGGCTCCTGCCGCCGCTCGGGCGTGCACTCCTCCTGCGTCCGTCGGTCTCGGGCGTGTGCGTTTTTGCTTCGGCTCGATGGTCCAGGAGGTTCCTCGCCGAGATGGATGACCAGCCTCGAACTCATCCCTATCCCCAAGGCCGACGCGCCAGAAGGCGATGGCAATCTTGGGGATGCGCCCTCAAAGAGTTAAGGGAATCCCTGAGATCGGCATCGTGACGAGGAGATGCCCAGCCTAGGGATAGGGATACAGGCCTCGGAACAAATTAGCGAACACATGCCACATTCATCCGTCAACGCCTTACCCCCCCCCCGATGTTCAAAGTTGGCGGTGGGTCTGATGAGATGCACTTCGACCGCAGTCTCCCCCGCGCGTGCCAACATTGAGTTTGGGGGGGAGGGGGGGAGTGTTCCGTAGTTGTTTCCCTCTACCGTATGTTCCAGGCTGGTAAAAAAAGAGCGCACACGTCCGAGCGACGCCATCAAGAGCGTCCGAGGCTGGCAAATCTTGGGGATGCGCCCTCAAAGAGAAGGGAATCCCTGAGATCGGCATCGTGATGGGGAGATGCCCAGCATAGGGGTAGGGGTGTGTTCCAGGCTGGTAAAAAGAGAGCACACGTCCGAGCGATGCCAAGAGCTCCCGAGGGCGCCCTCAAAAAAGTTAAGGGAATCCCTGAGATCGGCATCGCGACGAGGAGATGCCCAGCATAGGGATAGGGGTATGTTGCAGGCTGGTAAAAAAGAGAGCACACGTCCGAGCGACGCCGAGAGCTCCCGGAGGGACGTCCTCAAAAGAGTTGAGGGAATCCCTGAGATCGGCATCGCGACGAGGAGATGCCCAGCCTAGGGGTAGGGGTATGTTCCAGGCTGGTAAAAAGAGATCACCCATCCGAGCGACGCCGAGAGCTCCCGAGGGGCGCCCTCAAAAGAGTTAAGGGAATCCCTGAGATCGGCATCGCGACGAGGGATGCCCAGCCTAGGGATAGGGACATGTTCCAGGCTGGTTAAAAAAACGCACGCGTCCGAGCGACGCCGAGAGCTCCCGGTGGGGCGGAGCGCGGAGGAGGAAAGGGGGGAAAGGGCGGAGGTGGCACGGTGTGGCACCCTTCCCTGGGACGGGAGGGAGGTCTCGCCCCACCTCCTCCTCCTCCTCCTCCTCCTCCTCCTCCTCCTCCTCCTCCTCCTCCTCCTCCTCCCCCTCCCCCTCTTCCTAGTCGTCGTCGTCGTCCTCCTCCTCCTCCTCCTCCTCCTCCTCCTCCTCCTCCTAGGGGGGGGGGGGGGGGGGGGAAACGAGAAGGGGCGGGCCTTCTCAGAAGGATCGGAAGGCCTGCGGACTTCTGAGAAGTCTTCTGAGCGTTCCCCGAAGACAGAGAAGTCTGCCCCAAAAGGCCGAACATCTGGAACCACCTCGCGACGACGAGGACGACGAAAACGACGACGACGAATGTTTCAACTCCCAGCTGCCAGCCAGCCGCTGGCGACGTCGGCGTAGCTGGGAGGGTCACCCACCCTCACCGTCGACATCGAAATCATCTTGTCCTTCAAACTGTCGACCGTGAGGCCAGAATGTAGAAAGGAATGCAATCGTAGAATCGTAGTGTTGAGGGGCATGCAGCCGTGGCGACAAAGATTTGCGGCGCGCTGCGGGGGTTGGGGTGAGGGGGGGAGGCTTCTTAGAAAGAGGCTGCTTCTTAGAAGTCGACGGCCTTACATCTGCAGACCCGGCCCGTGCCTCATAAGAATAAGAAGCAGCGGAGCTTCGAAGAAGCATTCCCCCCTCCCCCTACCCTCTTCTTCGCATTGCGACGAAGTAGGGCCCAAGGGCTTCAACGGTTGCAAAACGGGCAGAAAAAATCGGCATCCGTCCCTGGAGTCCTTGTCTGGAGTGTTCAGCCCCAGCCTCCAGCCAGCCGGCGGCAGCGTCACCATGACCACAGGGACCCCCTCCGCTGGCCCCCAGTGGCCAAAAAATGCAGAAGATCTCAGACTTCTGCTCCCTCGACGTCGTCGTGGTCGTCGTCGGCGGCCAAACCGCCTGGGTCAGACCCCCCCCCCAGACCTCTCCAGGGGCGCGTTCTGGGATCCGCCCCGTGCCCGAAAAAGTACAAAAATAAGCAATCAAGACCAGCCGAAAACATCCGAACCTCGACGACGGCGGCGGTGACGTCCGGGATCTACTGACCCAGGTGAAGGCAGCAACCTGGGTCAGTCGGGCTTCGCAAGATCCTGCAGGATCCTGCGCGCGAGCCCGGGTGAATTCGGCCCTGGCCCTGCAGGATCTTGCAAGATCCGGCGCCCAGGCTGCACCCAGTTTGCTTGACCCCCGCCCCTTGAGCCCCGACGACGACCAAGGATGACCGTTCTTGTGGATGGATCTCTCAAGCTCTCCGCCGCCTCTGACGGTGCGCGGTGCGGCCAGGAACACAGCTTAGCCACAGGACAGCGCGGCATTGACGGTGCAGCTAAATCCACGTGACACAAGTGTTGGAGAAGGGACCGACCGTCCTGGCATTCCTATAGGACGACCACGACATGTTCTTAGAACCTCCGAATTTTTGTAGAACAGAAACCAGTCAGCTAGAACATAAGCCCGATGTGATAAAACAATGCAGACTTGGCCAGAAATGCCCTAATAAGATTTCGTGCAGGCCACAAAAGGTTCTTAGAACATTGAGTGGTGGGCCTATGGGCAGGCCAGGACGCTTCGCCACTGCCTGAATGTTAACGAGCAAGAGCACAGTAAAGCCCCAGGAGAGCGAGGCATTGCCGGCTACACGCAAGGAGCGATCCTAGGCAAGAGAGGACCTTTGCTGCGCGGGCGAAGGGGGCGCAAGGTGGCGCTCAGCGATTGGGGGACCCCGAGGCGCCCGCGCCAAAGGTCACTCCGGCGAAGGTCCACCCTTACGTGCAGTGGACATTGACAATGTTTCGGACGCCCAGAATGGGTACGGACAAGAAGGGGTACAATGCCCAACAACAAATATTGTCCAAAATCGACAGCGGCCGCTGTCGGGCAGGCGGCTCTTTGTCTTCAGTGAACGACGTCCGCGGCGGCACGGCCAGCGAGCCCTGCCCAAAATGAACAGGAACTGCTGTTGGGCATCGTATCCATTCTTTCCGTACCCATTTCGATCGTCCCGAAATGTAACTCAACCTTTGAAGAGGGACCGACAGTTCCGGCACTCCCATAGGCCTACCATGAGAATTTCCCAGACCCGGAAATTATTTAGTAACAGAAGCAGTGTTCTCAGAACGCAACCCCGAAAGGTATCACAAGACAATATCAGCCATAAATGTTCTGAGAACACTCCGTGCAGACCACAAAAGGCTCTTATGCCATTCTGTGGTGGGCCTGTAGGCAAGGCAGGACGCTTCGCCACTGCTCCTCCTCCTCCTCCTCCTCCTCCTCCTCCTCCTGCTCGTCCTCCTCCTCCTCCTGATCCTGCTCGTCCTCCTCCTCCTCCTCCTGCGCCTCCTCCTGCCTGCTCCCGCCGCCGCCTCCTCCCGCCTGTTCTTTTTCTTCCTCCTCCAGCCTCCTCCTCCTCCTCCTCCTCCTCCTCCTCTTTCTCCTCCTCCTCTTTCTCCTCCTACTCCTCCTCCTTCTCCTCCTGCCTCATCCTCCTCCTCCAGCCTCCTCCTCCTCCTCCTCCACCTCCTCCTCCTCCTCTTTTCCCTCCTCCTTCCTCCTCCTCCTCCTCCTCCCTCCTCCTCCTCTCCTCCTCCCCTCCTCCTCCTCCTCCTCCCCTCCTCCTCCTCCTCCTCCTCCTCTCTCCTCCTCCTCCTCCTCCTCCTCCTCCTCCTCCTTCTCCTCCTCCTCCTCCTTCTCCTTCTCCTCCTCCTCCTCGAAACATTGAAGGCTTCACCCCCCAGCCACCAGCCAACCGCTGGCGGCCTCCCCGCACACCTCCAAGGCTGGCCCGTCAGCGCCGCCGGTGCGCCACCGACCCAGGAAGGCCCCCAGCAGCGCCGCCGCCCCCGCTGGCCGCGGGGCGAGCCCGCGCGCCCTGACGGCCGGACCCTCGACCCCCGATCCTCGGCCTGGATCCCAGGCCCTCGATAGTTCGGCTACACGCACGCGTGACCCCAGGCACGACCTGCACGAAAGCTACCCTCGGCCTGGATCCCAGGCCCGCGATACTTCCGCTACACGCAGGCGCGACCCTGCAACCCCGTGCGAAGAGCAGCTGGTTTTAGGCGAGCCCCCCCGCCCCCTCCCCACTTCAATGTTGATCGTGCGACCCGCGGAGTTCGAGAAAGCACATCGTCACCGCATTGAACGTTGAAATTGGGGGGGGCATGTGTGTAGAAAAACACCAACTGCATGTTGCACGGGGGTGTAGGCAAGAGTGACCTTTGGTGTGCGGCTTAGCGGCGGATGTGGGGTGGCTAAGCCCAGGCGCGCAAGCCGCTGCTACCGTTTCGCGTTCCGCGATCGGGGTACACCCTTGGGCCCGCACCAGAAGCCACTCCGGCGAAAGGTCCCTCCTACTAGTTGAATGCTCGACCTCGATCCCGGACCACCGCTCCTGGACGTCGATCCTGACCCTACGCCACCTGTCCACGATCGAGGATCGAGGGTCGAGTGTCGAGGGATGAGGATCGCGGGACGAGGATCGAGGGTCGAAGATCCAGGACCTGGGATCGACCGGGCCGACGGGAAAGCCCCAGCGTACCGGCGCCAGGAGCAACAACAAACAAGAGCGAGGATCCAGGATCGAGCAGGTGGAGGCAGAGGACCGCTAGACAATCGAGGATCGAGGGGGAAGGAGGCGGAAGAGGATTACGTCCTGGGAAGGAAGTCGAGACGCCAACGTCCCATGATCGAGGGTCGAAGATCGAGGAGTTGCTTAGGCTGCTCTCCTACATTCTGCTGGGGGCGTGCACAAGCCCCAGCGCCCCAGCGGCGCGGCCCCAGAAGCACAGGAGCAGGAGGGAGAGGATCCGAGAATCGAGGAGGACAGGTAGGAAGAAGGAGGACGAAGAGGAGGTCCCCCTCCTGGTCCTCCGCCTCCTCCTCATCATAATCATGATCATGATCATGATCATGATCATGATGACGATCATCATCATCATCATCATCATCATCATCATCATCATCATCATCATCATCATCATCATCATCATCATCATCATCATCATCATCGTCGTCATCATCATCATCATCATCATCATCATGATCATGATCATGGTCATGGTCATCGTCATCGTCATCGTCATCATCACCATCATCATCGTCATCATCATCATCATCCACATCCTCATCCTCGTCCATCCTCCTCTGATAGGGGAAGAGGAGGACATTATTCAAGGAGCGAGGCTTCCCCCCCGAAGGAATCCAGAGCGACCATACCTGGGCCCCAGGGTCAGAGGCGGAGGACGGCGGCGACCTACGGCCCAGGGGCGGGCCTCCCTGGGCCCCACGGGGCAAGGGCCAACGACTCCTGGGCACCGTGACCACTTCGTCGAAGGCTCCTGGGGCGTAGAGACAGGGGCCCGCGACGTCCGCGGCACGGCCCTGAGGAGGAAGAGGAGGAGGAGGAGGAGGAGGAGGAGGAGGCCAATGCTCCTGGGCCGTCGAGCGAGGAGGGCACGCGGCCCTCGGGCCCTCGAGCCACCTGCGCAGCTCCGCCAGGAAAGGCTCCGAAGGAGGCGTTCGGTTCGCGCGCATCTGGATCGGTGGCGGCTCCCTGGATGGCCGACCGAGCACTCCGGAGGCCTCTACTTCGGCCCCCGCAAACGCCCCCAGGTGCACCCCGCAGTCAAGGCGGAGCAAGAACGATGACGCACTTGCCCTGCGACAGCGCGGGAGGCCAAAGGACAAGCTCGGCGCAGAGAGCGAGGTAAGCTGCTGGGGGAGGGGTCCCAAGGCGCGCGCGCGAGTGCGCCCCGGCCAGGGAGGCGGCCCCCAAACGCATGGACCCCCACTCGTCTGGCGAAGCGGCCCCCCGCAGCAGTTCGATGAACGGGCTTTCCACTCCAGGCGAGGAAGAGGCGAGCCAAACGAGCGCGCAATCGCACGAGGCAGCGCTGGGGGCCGTTCGCCCCGATGCGTGGGCACTGCGAGGAGGACGACGACGACAATGACGACGACGACGGCGAAGACGACGGACGCGGCGCGGAAGACGACGACCACCGCTTCGAGGCATCGCGCCAACGCGAGCCTCCGCCGCGCGGGCACCGCCGCTTGCGGGGCCACCTCGCAGCGCGCTCCAGGCGCGACAGGGGAGCGTTATGCCCTGCCTTCCACGCGAAGTGGACGCAGCGACGACGGCTGCGAAGCGCCACGCCTCGCCGCGCCGCTGGAGCGCAGACGCCGGCACGCGCGGGGGCGAGGCGGGAGAGCCGAAAACGAGCAGGAAGAAGTCGGTGCGCAGGAGGAGCGCTGGGCGCGAGAGGACCTGATTGAACCACGGATTACGCTGTGAGCAAAAGCCGCGGCATGGAGGAGGAGGAGGAGGAGGAGGAGGAGGAGTGACTTTGCGGGCCTGCCGCGCGCGCGATCGTGACGTGTACAACTGGCTTCAAAACCCCCCGCTGATTTTTTGAAAGCGCCAGCATGGCTGTCGCTTGAACTGAAGGGGCCCCAGGACACACAAATAAATACACACAAATAAAAACATCCCCCCATATTTCCCAATATTTTTGGGGTTTTTGACTTCCCCCCCACTTCCCATATTTTTGCATATTTTCCTGGGAATCGCCGATGACTTGTGTCTGTGTGTTTCTTTCCCTCCTGATGAACGGGGCCCAAGCGAGTCGGGGCCCGACCGTGCGCTGCGGCATCGCGAAGAGCATCCCACAAAGCCGGCGGACAAGAACGCAACGACGACACCGGGCAACAAAAATACGCAATCCGGAACAGGACAAAAGTCACCGAAGTTTCGTTCGGGGCACTTTTGAGCCCGACACTTTCGGTTGCCACGTCAGCAGGACAATCGCAAACACTAAGTGCCCCCCTGCAGATGCATCGGGACATGTCCGAAGCTACAAAAGGTCGACCATATCGAACGTTCTGGCAAGGAAAATACTGAAAAGAGCGCCAATCTAGCAACCACTCTCCTCGCTGGCTCCGCGATACCATCAGGTTCGGTTCAAGAGAGCGTAGGGATCTCGGCTCAGGTTCCGTTTTGGGCATCCGAAAAAAATGCCCCAGGGAACGGAGCAGCGAGCGCACGCTGCCACAACGTCGATATCCGCAAACGTGGAATGAGGCGCGTACGCGCCGACCAACTGAAGGGGCCCTGGGACACACAAATAAATACACACAAATAAAAAGATTCCCCATATTTTCCCATATGTTCTGGGTTTCTGTCTTCCCCCCCACTTCCCATATTTTCCCATATTTTCTGGGGAATCAAGGATTAATTGTGTCTGTGTGTTCTTTCCTCTCCTGAAAATTGAGTTTTGAGGCGATCCCGTCGAACGGGAGCACGACCACTCCCTCGCGGACTGCCTTTAGGGACGCGTGGCCCCGCCTGCGGCGTAGGACGAACTCGCAAGTGGACCCCCATTGCGCCCCCGCATCCGAACCATGCGTGCCTCCACCTGCGGCGAAGAATTCACGCTTGGATTGGGCGCTCGACTTATCCGGGGTAACTCGGGTCTGGGGTAACTCGGGTTTGGATTCCCGAAAAAGAAAACCGAGTTAGCCCTGACCCGAGAAACCCCTGATGATTCGGGGCTCTGGACGCCCGGCTTATCCGGGGTAACTCGGGTCCGGGGTAACTCGGATCTGGATTCCCGAAAAAGAAACCCGAGTTAGCCCTGACCCGAGTTACCCCTGATGATTCGGGGCTCTGGACGCCCGGATGATCCGGGGTAAGTCGGGTCTGGGGTAACTCGGGTTTGGATTCCCGAAAAAGAAACCCGAGTTAGCCCTGACCCGAGTTACCCCTGATGATTCGGGGCTCTGGACGCCCGGATGATCCGGGGTAAGTCGGGTCCGGGGTAACTCGGGTTCGGATTCCCGAAAAAGAAACCCGAGTTAGCCCTGACCCGATTTACCCCTGATGATTCGGGGCTCTGGACGCCCGGATGCTCCGGGGTAACTCGGGTCCGGGGTAACTCGGGTTTGGATTCCCGAAAAAGAAACCCGAGTTAGCCCTGACCCGAATTACCCCTGATGATTCGGGGCTCTGGACGCCCGGATTATCCGGGGTAACTCGGGTCCGGGGTAACTCGGGTTTGGATTCCCGAAAAAGAGACCCGAGTTAGCCCTGACCCGAATTACCCCTGATGATTCGGGGCTCTGGACGCCCGGATTATCCGGGGTAAGTCGGGTCAGGGGTAAGGCGGGTTCGGATTCCCGAAAAACGAACCCGAGTTAGCCCTGACCCGAGTTACCCCTGATGATTCGGGGCTCTGGACGCCCGGATTATCCGAGGTAAGTCGGGTCCGGGGTAAGGCGGGTTTGGATTCCCGGAAAACGAACCCGAGTTAGCCCTGACCCGAGTTACCCCTGATGATTCGGGGCTCTGAAACCATGCATGCCTCCATCTGCGGCGAAAACCTCATGCTTGAACTCCATCCGAACGGTTTTCATTTCAGACACGTATCGAATTAGATCCTTAGCCTTTGTTTGTATTGCCTCCAGCCTCGTGCCGACAGATACAAACCAATGGAAAAAAGAGGTCAAGGGTGATGGTATGTTCGGCCCCGTGCCTGCACTACTACGGCCGGACTCCTGTGCGTCCGCAAGCGCTTGCGGAAGGTCTTCCGGCGCACCAGCATCTGCTCCCTGGATGCGTCAATCGATTTCCATGGCCGGATCTGGATTCAGCTCTAACAGTATGTCATCGATTACACGATGAGTTGCCCAACTATTTCTGCAATGGTTCGGACAAGCCTCACTCCACTTTATGACACCAAAGCAGGTGTTGCCCTTTGCTTTATCGAGCTGTTGTCCACCATGCGATTCCCACTCCTCCCTCCTTCGCCGTGCCTCGTTCAATAACTGAAGCTGGGCACACCATACATGTACTGATTTGCTTGTAAACATGTGAATCAGAAACACATATAACGAGACCCAAAAGCAACGGAGGAGATGAGGCAGGCCGCATCCCGTAGGGAGAGATTCGCACAGCGCCCACGCAGGTACCAAACGAAATGTTTGTGCCCAAGCAGGACTTCCCAACGGTATTCGCAGTAGAGCCCGTGCGGCACAACACTACCACGGTGGCAAGCAACAGGAACTGGAAAAGGCAAGATTAAATGGGAGGGAAACGGAGCAGCGCCGTGTACCCGAATAATTGGCGACGCAGCTGAGACACGCAGAAGCGATCCACATAATAGTTGACGACAATAGCGGAGCTGGTGCGCACCCTCACTGGGTAGTCCCGCGGCCAGTTCGTGGCAGGTTAGGCCGGCACGCCGCCAGGGGAGGAGAGTAGACGAGTGCAAAACTCGCGCGTGTGCAAGCCTACCTTTAGCCTGTGTCCGCACAGGGTCCCGCACAAGCGCTTTAGAAGCGCAAGGGTAATGATATCAGTGGAAGCTTTTACCGTATTTGGCAGGGCTTGCGCTGCAAGGCTTGCCCGCTGCAAAGCAGGGGCGGGACGGACAGAGTGCGCATGCCTGTGAGCTGCGCAGCCAAAACAGACCTACGCAAGAAGGGAGGCGAGGGAGTGCACTGGCCGAGAAGAGAAAGGCGGGCGGTCAAGAGCACGAGACGAGAAGAGAAGAGACGAAGTGTCAGTGTCCTCGTCCGAGCTCGGCGAGAATGGAGGCGAGGGGAGAAGGAGGAGGAGGAGGAAGAAGAGAAGGCAGCTAAGGGGAGGCGACGAGCGCTGGCCGCCCATGGAACTCCACGCCACGCCCCCGCGACATGCATGATGCTTTGCAGGTGGACAAATCGACGCAGTAGTACTGTTGATGGCGCCCCTATGATCTCCGAGATCCTCGTTACCAGGCTCTTCCACGAACGGATACTCCTTATGATGACAGGGCCGGTGTTCATGATGACAGTCGTGCAACAGCTTACCTGTTCGTGGCAGTTCTTGAAAGTAGTGACCCCTTACTGCAGTCGTCGGAATCGTGAAAGTACAAGCTGTGGCTGCTCTGCCGTCTGGGGACAGTTTCAAAAACATATGCACGATCTCGGTCTCGATAGCTATGGGCTCCTTCCGGTCAGCGAAGCCGAAGACCAGAACCTGCCTGAAACACTCATCGTTTTCGCCAACTCCCGACCGTCGTTTACCTCCCCCTCATCCACGTGCACAACATTCGGTGCCCCCCCTTTTACCTCGGCCATGGTCTTCCTTACAGTCTCCTCCACCTACCTCTTCAAGGAATGTTTGGCAAGGTGCAAGTCCAGGTCCGCAACCAGGTTGGTTGCCGAGGTCTCCAAACAGCCTTCGATACTGTCCTTGGTGGTGGTGACTTCCACTCCGCCCTCGCCCGAACCACTTCCTCCTGTGCCGCCCAGACCATGCCTTTCAGCGTTTGCCTTGGCATCGACACTGACGAAGCCCTGGATGTGCCTCGTCTCGGCGTACAACCGTCGTGCTGCCACGCGGGGCGATGAGTCAGGAAGGTGCTTTTACTTCGCTGCGCCACCTAGAGGTGAGGAACGGCCTGGGAACCAGAGCCACTCCCGGACCCGAAGTGGCCCTCATTGGATCGTATGGACTACACTCTGGAACCACCACCACGTTCGAGACCGACCCCCCACACGAAGAGATCGGATCAGCGATTCGGTCCTCGAGTGCCTTGGCCGTGTTCTCCAGGCTCAGACCTTTGGACGCCCCAGTTCCTGAGCGTTCTAGTACCATTGACGTCTCGTGCTGACCTCAGCCGAAGATGTAAACACTAAGAACCATGCGAGGGTAACAGGTCAGTAGCATTACGTTTGGACTGTGATAGGGCGCGATGCTTGGGATAACACAATTTACGTTACAGTGTGGCCCCCATGCGCTAGAAGCGCCGGACACCCCATCCAAGAGACATAGAACGATGGAAGGAGACACAGGAGGAGGAAGATGAGGAATACGAAGAACAATCAGACGAAGAAGGGTAAGAGTAGTGGGACGAAGATGAAGATATTCGTGGAAGATGGAGCGAGAACAGGGAAACCTGCCTGGCGGTCTCCACCAGGATAAGCGCGTGCTCCCACTGCGCGCACCCCTGGCAGACGAGGGCGGACGATGCGTAGGCGATCGCGTCCGGCTCGAGCCGCCTCTGAAGCCAGGAGGAGAGGACGCCGCCGAGAGAGCTGGCATCGGCTCTCTCGCTCGCTTTCTCTCTCTCTCTCTCTCTCTCTCGCTCTATCGCTGTCTCTCTCGCCGCCGCTGCCGTCGTCGTCGTCGCCGCCGCGGCTCCATCATCGCAGTCGAGTCGCGGATACATTCGAAGATCAGACCAGTATTTTGGGTGTGTTTGAGGTGTCTCGGAGTACCTTCGTCGCAGAGGCTGAAGTCCTTCCGAAAGTGTTCGCCCCCGACCTTGGACTTCCGAACATAGACGAATTATAACCGCATGGTGTCTTTAGTTCTAGACCCCCCTGTCCCTCTCAGAGGGAAGCGAACTCGCCCCTCCTTCTCGCCCACCTGCTCCTGCTCGTGCTCCTGCTCCTCCTCTTCCTCCTCCTGCTCCTCCTTCTCCTCCTCCTCCTCCTTCCACCCTCCCCCTCCCCCTCCCCCTCCCTCTCCCCCTCCCCCATCCCACCCTCATCCTGCTCCTCCTCCTCCTCCTCGTCCTCCTCCTGCCCGTCCTCGTCACATTCCTAAGGAGGAGAGGGAAGAAAGGAGTAGGAGGAGGAACAGGAGGAGGACGAAAGGCAAGACGAGGAAGGGAAGGACGGGGAGGAAGGAGGAGTAAATTATTCACTGCAAGTATATAGTTTCCATTATTGGTGGGGCCGTTCATCCTAAAGATGAACGCATACCATTCCAAGCCCCTTTTTCCCTAACTAGGCTCTGTCTAGAAGGGTTCTTACTCTGTAGCTTAAAGGGGCCGGGCAGCGTAAACCGCCCCGGGCGGTTCCCCCAGCCCCCTGGGAGCCAAGCAAAAGAAACAGCAAAGGTAAAAGCAAACGCGCGGTTCCCCCAGTTGCGCTCCCTGGGTGCCAAGCAAAAGCAAAAGCAAAGGCAAAAGTGAAGGCAAAAGCGAAGGCAAAGCAAACGCATAGCCTAGCATAGCATAGCGTAGCATAGCATAGCTTAGCATAGCATAGCATAGCATAGCGCAGCATAGCATAGCGCAGCATAGCATAGCATAGAACAGCATAGCCTAGCCTAGCCTAGCCTAGCCTAGCCTAGCCTAGCCTAGCCCAGCATAGCGTTGCACAGCATAGCATAGCATAGCATAGCATCGCATAGCGCAGCACAGCATCCACTAATGTTGTTTTCCTAGAGGCTCCAACTCCTAGGTAGGGTCGCACTGGGATAATTATCACCCCCCTGATCCCAGTGACATGATATCATGCGCGCGCACTCGTTCATCAAAAATCAGCTGTTTTCAACAGTCCCCAGCACCAAACTGAACGCTGTCCACACGCGGGCGTCGTCGCGCGTGCATGCCGAACTTCTTCACAAGACATGGTTTCACAATGAAGCCAAAGTCAAGTTTCCCGAACACATAATAATTATCCCAGTGCGACCCTACCTAGGAGTTGGAGCCTCTAGGAAAGCAACATTAGTGGATGCTGTGCTGCGCTATGCTATGCTATGCTATGCTATGCTATGCTGCGCAATTCTATGCTGGGCTAGGCTAGGCTAGGCTGTGTCATGATATGCTATGCTATGCTATGCTATGCTATGCTATGCTGCGCTATGCTATGCTGCGCTATGCTATGCTATGCTATGCTACGCTATGCTATGCTTTTGCTTTGCCTTCGCTTTTGCCTTCACTTTTGCCTTTGCTTTTGCTTTTGCTTGGCATCCAGGGAGCGCAACTGGGGGAACCGCGCGTTTGCTTTTACCTTTGCTGTTGCTTTTGCTTGGCTCCCAGGGGACTGGGGGAACCGCCCGGGGCGGTTTACGCTGCCCGGCCCCTTTAAGCTACAGAGTAAGAACCCTTCTAGGCAGAGCCTAGGTAGGGAAACAACTGGTTTCGCAACGTGTGAATGATAAACATGTGGGCGCCTTTTTGCGAACGCTTACGGGGAAGCCATCGGCTTTTTCCAACGTGTTCATCAAAACCGGCCAAGCGGGCCTCTCTCGCGCGCGCGTCGAAATCATTCGAAGGCCTTTGCGCGCTTGCTGTGCGGGCACGACCCCTGTCGCAAAATCCCACCAGTCCTCTGGGCGCAAGTGCTTTAACGACATCTTTCTGCCCTCTTCCAAAAACCCCTCTTCCCCTTAGGGGGGGGCTATCAATGTTCCCTATTAGTATACACCCCATGCCCCACCCGGCCGGCAGCCAACCCGGAACCATGCCGACCCCATGCGCCCCCCCCCACACCATCCCTGTCAAGAAACAATTCAAACCGCACTCTGCATCCACATTTGGAGCATGCGCGGCCAACCCGATGCGCCCCCCCCCCCCACCACCACCATCCCTGTCAACAAAAAACAATACAAAGTACACTTTGGGGCAAAGTCTCGAGTCATGCTCGTGAGGCACGCGAGCACTGCATTGCTTTTGACAGGGACGGCGGGGGTGTCAGCATATTTCCTGCTGTGCGCAGGGCGACCATCCCTGACAAACAAAACCAATACAACATGCACCTCGCGGCTAAATCTGGATCATGCGCGGCCATCCCGCAATCACTGTCAAGTGGTGTTTGACAGGGACGGCGAGGGTGGTGGCACGTGGCCTGCCGTGCGCAGGCCCCCCCAGACACAATGATGGGCATCGGTTTTCGACAAGGATGGCGGGGGCCGACATGTCTCCCGATGTGTGCTGTGACGTGCGCAGGCGCACCTGACGCACTCTGCACGTGCCCCGCATGCGGCGCACCTGGCGCGGCTGGAGTGTGCGGCACACCTGGCGCTCTGGGAACATGTGGAGCATCTGGCGCACCAGGCGTGCCTGGCACGCTCGGGACCCCAGGGGTCCCTGGCGCGCGTGGCGCACCTCGCCCAAGCGTCGCGCACCTGGGGTCGGCTTTGGTTCCCAGTAGCTGCCCATCCAAAGAAGACCGGTGAACATGCTCAGGCTCGGTTGTTATTTATGTGTTGGGAGGGCGGGTGGGAGTGAGCTAGACGGCTTGCGTGCGGGTGGGTAGCTTGATCACTGTTCCATATTAATATACACCCCCTCCCCCAGGCGACCGGGGGCCAACCCGAAACCATGCCAACACCATGCCGACCCGCCCCCCACCATCCCTGCCAAAACACAATTCTAACCGCACTCTGCATCCACATTTGGAGCATGCGCGGCTACCCCGATGCGGCCCCCCCCCCACCATCCCTGCCAAAAAACAATGCAAAGTACACTTCGGGGCAAAGTCTCGAGTCATGCTCGTGAGGCACGCGAGCACTGCATTGCTTTTGACAGGGACGGCGGGGGTGTCAGCATATTTCCTGCTGTGCGCAGGGCGACCATCCCTGACAAACAAAACCAATACAACATGCACCTCGCGGCTAAATCTGGATCATGCGCGGCCATCCCGCAATCACTGTCAAGTGGTGTTTGACAGGGACGGCGAGGGTGGTGGCACGTGGCCTGCCGTGCGCAGGCCCCCCCAGACACAATGATGGGCATCGGTTTTCGACAAGGATGGCGGGGGCCGACATGTCTCCCGATGTGTGCTGTGACGTGCGCAGGCGCACCTGACGCACTCTGCACGTGCCCCGCACGCGGCGCACCTGGCGCGGCTGGAGTGTGCGGCACACCTGGCGCTCTGGGAACATGTGGAGCATCTGGCGCACCAGGCGTGCCTGGCACGCTCGGGGCCCCAGGGGTGCCTGGCGCGCGTGGCGCCCCTGGCACGCGTGGCGCACCTCGCCCAAGCGGCGCGCACCTGGGGTCGGCTTTGGTTCCCAGTAGCTGCCCATCCAAAGAAGACCGCTGAATGCGCAGGCTCGGGTGTTACTTCTGTGTACGTCGGGAGGGCGGGTGGGAATGAGCTAGACGGCTTGCGGGCGGGTGGGTAGCTTGACCCCTCCCCCTACCCCCCGCTCCCCCCTGGACCTGGACGGGGGGAGGGCAGCGAGGTGGCAGAGGGTCTTTTTTTCGATGGCTCCAAGAGGGCCTCAGAGAGCTCAAGATAGTCTCCAAGATCTCTCAAGACAGCCCAACATTGCTCAAGATAGCTGGCAACATGCCTCCAAGATGGCCCAAGAGGGCCACAAGACAATTCCAGGTGCTTTTGGCGACCCCTGAGGACCTCCCGAGAAGCCAAAATCTTCCAAACACCGAGGGAGACTCACTGATTGTTGCCTTCTCGCCTTTTCGCTTCCGATGCGCTTGCGAGGCCTCAAGATGGCCCTAAAATGGCACACGATAGCCCCAAGAAGGGCCCAAGAGGCCCCCAAGACTGCCCCAAGAACGCAGAAGATCGCCCCAAGAGGGCCCCAAGCGGCTAGTTCGATGGCCCCGCAGGGGGGAAGTACATCGAGGACCCCCCCCTTTGATCGTTGGTCTCCAAGATGGCCTCACGAGGCGCTCCATAGCTCCCGCGAAGGCCCCAAGGGCCCCATGAGGGCCCCAAGGCGCCCCAAAAGAGCTCCAAGAGGACCCCAAGACCCTCCCCAAAACCCCAAAAGGGCCCCAAGATGCTCCAAAAGAACTCCAAGAGGACCCAATATCCAGCCCCGTAGCTCCAAGGACTCCGATGCTCCAAGATAGCCTCCAAGATGGCTCAACACCCTGCTTCCTCTCCTTTCCTTGCACGCTCTGTTCACTATATTTGTCTCTTCTCTCCAATACCCGACAGCTCTCATGGCCAGGGTTTCTGAATGGGCTTGGGGGGTATCCTCCTCCTCCTCCTTATCCTCCTCCTCTTCTTCCTCCTCGTCGCCCTCCCAGTCGCCATATATCTCATCATCGTCCTCCTCGTCCTCGTCCTCGTCCTCGTCTTTGTCCTCATCCTTGTGATCGCCCTCGTCGTCCTCGTGTCATTCCCCTTCCTCCTCCTCCTCCTCCTTCTCCTCCTCAACCTGCTCCATATCCTCATAAGATGACCCCATGGGTCCTCGTCCCCATTGGTCTCATCCTCCTCCTCCTCCTGATCCCCGTCCCCGTTCTTGCCCTCATCGTCGTCCTCTTCATGTTCTTCCTCTTCCTCGTCGA